TCTCGGGTTCACCTTACCGGAATCATAGTATACAATTATCTGTGCAACAACTGGGTCGTTGATGGTTCGCTTTGGAGAGAAACTATTGCACTATTGCGTTCAAGAACAAATTGGTTTTCTTTTGATAAAGAAAGAATAAACGATAAAATTATTGAATTTTAGTAAACATAGAATTCTCATTCGCGATTTAATAAAGTTTATTTCTATTCATGGAAAAAAGGAAACTGCAGCATCACATATCCAATAATATTGCCATCGATAGCCGGAGACATTCATAATCAACAAGTCGGTCACACAACTGTGGTTACAGACTGGGATCTAAAGCAGAGTAAAATCCAACTCTGTTGTTTGTTTTGCGTTTCGCATTCAGAGAAAACAAAATCCTATTTACCTTTTGAACTCATTTAAGGTGGTTTCCAAAATTTGATCATCAACTCTGACTGACTGAATTGCACCGTTGATCCGGTTACACATAAGCTACAGAGTTACCAGACTCGAGTATTGCTGCTAGTGAAGCTCACGCTGGGTGATATCTAGAGTTTGAGTTCTGTATGGTTACTCTAACTCATATCAGCTCACAACTGATGGATAGGACTAAGTGTTGAATATGGAACTAAATAGTTTTTCAAATTGTTGTTTGGCAGATTTGAAGTTTGTATGTCGATTGTGAAAAGTTCAGTAGCCTCGGTGAAACTCGAACCCACGTACGTTGGATGGGTAAATTCGAATGTGAAAAAATCAGTGCTATCGGTGTGGCCTCGTAGCTCAGCTGGTAGAGCATGCGCGTACAAAGCGTAGGCGGCGTCCATGCGTGGGTTAGAATCCCACCGGGGCTACTGAACTTTTCACAATCGACATATAAACAGTTTTTGTTACAAAATAAATCCCGATCAATATTAACCATGTATCCACAACTTTAGATATGGACAATTTAAAAAGGAAGCAAAACAATGAAATATTTAAATAAAATAATTTTATGATTCAATATGATTCAGTACTACGTTATCGACCAGAAACATTACATGGCACAATGTACTATTAGCAGCTAGTTCGATACCTAACATTTGACAATGCTAATACCTCAAAAATGTAATCTGCCACACCAAATACTGTACATTTTTACCAATGCTGTTTTATTCCACGGGCATTTCACGTTTTCAAGTGAACAGATCCTCAGATATATTATACACATAATTATATATGGTTGAACGTACCATGCAATGAATGACTGTATCCGATCGGTTGTGTCCAAGACCTTGACTGACATCTGGTGGAAGACTTTCCAGATAGCCACCCATGGAAATAGCACTGCTCACCAGTTGATACGATTGAAAATCATTGTTATAATAATATGCTCTCGCGGCAAATTTATTCACATCACTTGCAAACTGACGCGGATTTTTCAGCTGTAAGCGTTCTAACATATCCGTGGCATTTGAGGCCAGCGGCCTCAGATTACACAGTGTCATCGAGGGGAAAGGAGAGGGTGTATCTCGAAGTACTTGAGGCGGATGAATCACGTGATATTCCAAATACTGTCTGGTAAGAAAAAACATACATGTGAATAGACCGATAAACAGGGCAATCACTGAACACACCCATACCGTTCGAAATGTTTTATTTCGTGCGGTCACAATACGCGTTATTCCGCGGATCGTGGTTGTCTGACAAAAAATGAGCAATTCATTTTTGAGACCCTTTCTCACGGAATGCCGGGTAGGATAGTTTGATTCATTTTCGTAAATTGTTTTCCTCTGATCGTCTCCTGATTCATCCATGCTGAGTATGAGGAGGAGGAGGATGAAAGAAGGTTCAGTGGATACAATAATGATAGTATTCAAGGAACTAAGGTGAAAACCAATGTTGATGAAGATGTAGAACTGGTTTATTTAGGTAACGGTTTATTTCTCGTTGCCTGCGAACACATCGCATGGCCAACCGGTCGCGCAATGCCTCCGTTTTCTTTGAATAACAAGAATACCATAAACTGTCCAATCAGCTCGGCTTTCTGAGAAATGACCAAACGCTGATTGGTTGTTCACCCTTGTTGTTGCGGTCAAATAAGGGGAACAGATAAATATCCCCGAGTTTAGTGGCATGGTTCGAAAAACTGTCTACAATGTTTGCCAATTGGGTTGGAGCATGTGTTCTCGAGTGTCAAGGCGGAAAATGTGCCACTTTCAGACTGTTTCAAGTGAGATAAATTAGCTTTGTTTTTTTTGAAACAAGGACCAAGGTAACTGGGCAATGAGGAAGTTGAAAACATTCCATCAAGGGTCTTGATAAAAAAAAGCTGAATACGAATTGGATATCAAATATATTGCGTAAATCTGCCTGGCTGAACCGTGGTTTACACAGCAACCTAAAACTGGAGTTTGAGTAGTTATTGTTCAATGCACAAATGAGATTGAAGGAAATATATGGTCATCTCAAATGAGAAAATGTTAGACAGTTTGCTTATAATTCGTTTTTCTAAATTGTTGTTTTAAAAAGTCACAAAGGCTTTTGTGAGATTAAAAATTTATTCAGTCCGTTAAACTTTTTATGCGATTGTGAGCATCCTTCTTAAAAAGGACTTGGTGAAACAAATCCTACGCAAAAGGGAACAATACTACATCTAGGGTCAGTTACATGAAACCGAGATGCACATATGTATAAATAAAGTTAGCAGCCAGCAGTTGGATGATTTCGTAGGAACACATGTTATTGGAAATCAGAGAAGTGTGTTTGATGGAAGCAGGACAAAACTAATCTTTCCTCGAGCAAGAAGTAAAATGCACAAGCGTGCCTAAGCGACGTGATCACGGGAGTTCCTTTTCTGGGCGACAGGCGTAAAAACGTCGTTTATCGCGGAAAATCCTGAAACTTTACTGTGTGTATTGTCTCAGGGAAGAACTTGGTGGTTGCAATAGGCGATACCAAAATGAATAGAAGAGCTGGTTGTTTGAGGATAAAGATTTAGGAATTTGTGTGTTTCAGGGATTCGTTTCATTTTTGTGGCACTGAAAGTAGCACTTAAAAAAGATGAATGTCTTTGGTTACAGCGAAACCGTAATATTTTTCGTTTTGCAAAATAGACTGACTGGTCAGTTTTGGGTTAAATCACGTAGCGTGATCCGGTTAATCAGTGCCATGTCACATAACTGTCTTTTCGGGAACCGTTGACTGACCAAGTGTTTCCGCTCTGCCGCGAGCATTGGACGATCAGATCATTCATGTGTATCCAGTCAGACGGTCACTCAATCAACATCGTATCAATTGTTCGCACGCCTATTCAGCGCCAGTAAAAATAGTATAAAAACAGTGCGGTTGATATGGTCAAATAGAACAAACAATCGTTCATGGAGATAACTGTGTCGGGCATCATTATTTCCCCGTTCAAACTGCGGGATAAACGTGATCAGTAATGTTGTTGAACAAGATTATCGCTTAGGAATGCAGGCTGGCGATCGAACGTTCACGGTTGCTATAAACCGGTTACGTTGTTTGAAACTGAGATTCATGGCGATGGCGAGGATTGTAATGGCAATGATAAGGCAGTACATGAAGGCGCAACTAGGAGTCTCTCGTGTATATCCTACTTTCATTCAGGTTTTATCAGCCCAGAATAACTGGTTCAAACACTCGTTCCTATCTAAATATGGATGCTGTTCACGATATTTTGCTAAATGCTAACTCATAGTGAATCATTTGAATCACATACCATTAGGCAAAAAGTGTAGACAAAACCTGTTTACCGATAAGATTATATTGTTGTTTAATCAACGTGAAAGTGTACTTATGTCGAAATCCCATGTGATGATTATGATGAAAAGTGAATATATCGGTTTTGTGGTGGTCCCAGGATAACGGAAGCATATGAGACATCATTGGAGAATTCAAAGTTCAATTTGTGTTCGTAAAATCACTTTTTGACTCCTACAAAAAGAGTTCTATATCACTTTTAATTTCAAAGTCTATCTCAGTTTATTCCACATCTTCCTCAGCTGACTTCCATGACTTATTATCAAATTGCGTCATCCAGCCTGACCTGAACTCACAAACAACTCTAAATCACCCCCCAAATTGAACACCGCCTTGTTTTAATGAACCAATCTGACTCCTACGACTTTGCGTTTGACATGATTGTATAAATAAGCCTTGGCGGCTCAGTGACGGTTCGCTTATTTGATGACAAATACCAATTCTCTTCTCATATGTTTTCTTGTGTGATTGAAGCAAAGCTTGCTTCGCTTATCATGTTTGATTTTGCAGTCTTGATTTCACACAAACGATGCATTTAGGACACGAATGCAGACCTCGTTGTTGGGATCACATCCTCTTGGAATATCATCTCGCTGTATGCGACGCACAAGTAGAGAGTGGATACGGCATCGATCCGTGAGTTCGAGAGGATTTCCTGTTTTCGAAAGCGATATTCAATTTAAGATTCGTTTCGCACAAGCACTGATAAAGATTGGAAGCTATTATTATAGAAAAGCTACTTCGCTACGAAATTCTGTCGCTGTTGTTCCATCATTGAGTGCGTTATTTGCTTTCCATAGATGTTGCTCACCAAATTTCACTTACGTATACCATGGGGTTTACACAATCCCTCGATATTGTTTTGCGTTCTCAATACAAACTCACCGACACCCTGTCACCCTATAAGGTTTTGTAAGATGTGCCATTATGTCATGTTACTTCTGCAAATTATTTAAAAAGCATCCTCCAAACGTTAAACGGAGAAAATCTTTAAGGTGAGCTATTGTTCGCCACCACCACGGAGACATTTCACTGTCATTTTTTACTAGTTAGGGTAAAGATTGCCTGCTCTCCCCTCTTTTTGTAAGTACACCTGCAAGATGTGGGAAAAGGGAATATGTATCCGAATAAGGGACACACACTTGAATTGTCGACAATTTTTTCAGTTACCTCTCTGAGGTTCGTCGACTGCGTAAAGCCTCGGCACAATAAACGTTTCACGGAGAGCGGCATATATTCATAGGTTTAAATGGATACCCTAGTGGACTAACCGGACAGGTGAGAACTGCCGATTGTTACTCCAAATCACACATATACGTTCGAGGCACCTGTAACGGGACCATTTTCCAAACCTTACGTTAAGAATGTGTTCTTGTCTTGATTACGTCTTGATCATTCAAGAACGAACAGCATATTGTCAGTGTTTGTTCGCCTACCTTAAGAAGTCCTGGGGGAACCTTGACTGCCCTCTTTGGAGCCGTCCACCGATCACGTTATGCATGTCTCACATTCGCTCTAGCCTGCAATACGGAGGTTATCTGAACATATATCTACGTTAAGACATTCTGAGAGGAAATGAGATGCAACACGTCACGTGGTGGAACTACTTTGGACTAGCTATGAATAACTTCACAATACAAATGGTCTGCGTTTGTAGATCTACCCCATGGATTGGAGAGATCTTATCTACGTGAGACACATTTGGTGGCTACTGGAGTTCCAGAGTTGTCCAGCCTTTGGGACTCACTCACCAACTTTAGGCCATTCACTGCCTCTGGTTAGCATTATTTTGATATGTCTGAGTTCATAACGGTTAGCTATTCAAAAGAACAGAATAACTGAGGAGGTGGAACAGCAAATGAATGCAAAATCACTTAAGCGAAGCTGGACACCTTTTTTTACAGGAGACAAGAAGTAGCGTCCAACTGGAAATGTATTGAAAAACGGAGATGAAGAAGCGAACATCAAAGTTATTCGATTGACACAGCAATTTGTTTGATGATCAGAATTACACAAGTAACTCGTTTATAGAAAATAAAGAAAATAGCTATTAATCTTTAACCCGAGGCTTCAACGTGTTCTCCAATTTGGCAAGAAAAATTAACGGAAAAACAGAAGACATAGGGGTAAACAAGCGTGTCACCTAATTATTTGCAAACTCAAAAATATCTTAGCTTTAGTGATTTGACATCTATAAGTANATCATCAAGGCAGTTACGGGTTGGCTTTTCACAATGAATTGTTTGACAGTGTTCACCTCAAACACAGGATTGTTATCGACCAGTGGTCGGTTAGGAAAGAACAGTGCAAAATAATACACAAGTGTTTTAATCTTTGTGAAACCTATTAAGCGCGTCCTCTAACTGAAAGGAAAAGAGCCAGATTTGAGGAAATTCATCTATGGTGGTGAACGTAGTATGGAGAAGAGATAAATGGAACAGCAAAGCAAACATCTACCTGTTTCAAGGCGACCAGATGGAGAAACAACTAAGAATATAGCTAATTTAAGTAGGAAATAAGTAGCGGGATACAAATCTCTTTGAGTGATCTTGAATTCAGATGAAGCATTCCTTCGATAGTTTTTTCAAATAACTTACATGAGTGGGTCGTAAGCTACTGTGAGAAACCCCCGAATAGTAGGTATTACATAAACGAAACTACCGTTCCGATTTAAAAAGGGGTTCATACAATTTATGTTTTCAAAAGCCTCAGTGTGTTTGTGGGTGGGTGTCTTGGGTTGTGGTTGCTTGACCTTCCTTCGTACCTCGCGAAATTCACCTGTACAATTAAGCGTTTCAGACAGCTTCGGCTGAGCAAGCCCTACTAGCTCCTGTCCCGTATTGGAGGCACTTTGCTACCAAAGAAAAAGGACGTGAAGCCAAAATCTGGGAATGTCACCGGATTGGTGAACCCCTATCAGTTTAGTGAGATTAAGTTTCTAAAACCCTTATTCCAAACCTAACAAGAAGACGCCTGTGATCCACCCCCCCCCCCTCCAGCTTTCCGGTCGTGGAAACGGTCAACGGTTCGATGGGGTACTTTGGACATTTGACCCCGTTCGAAAGCTATATGATGCGATGAACCGGACACCGGCACGCAATGGATCGAGGTTTTCAAACACCCACCCGCTGCTTAACGGATCAGGTTTCGGCTAGTCAAAGGTTCCGTCCGGAAGTTTCCTTAGGAAATTCGTCAGAATTGGTATGGAGTAACTCAGCTCTATCTTGCAAGTGAGCAACTCAAGGAACGTATTTTCTAATGATTATTAATCATAATTTGTTTTGTATGCAGTTTGGGCTCAGATGTGTGTGAAATATACACAGCAGCATTCGAAAGGAGCTATCATTTGTTTTATTCCACCCTGATGAACGTACGTCTACAACCGGTTCATTTTTTATCATGTATACAAGAATCGTTCTAACTGCACACTGACTAGCTTTCGGTCACCGAGGGAATGTTGAGTTTACGCGTTTATTGTCAGCCTGTTTTGAGACATGCACCAGTCCGTTTCGTTGCGTCCAAACAGAATGTGAACCGCTCGGCGAGTGCAAAGCAAATAAAACATCTGTAGCACCGAACTTACCTCTCCGAAAGGCACATGTTCCCAACATAAACAGAAGTCAGATCTCATTTTACTTTCAGTGAAATTATCGAATTGGGAATCCAACAACGCACTTATATTCGAACATGGAAAGTAATGCAAAGGCTATTACAATCGTCAAGTACTGGATATTGTATTTAGGCTATACTCTACATAATGTTCCACCCGCTTTTTATGTATTATTTTCACTACTCAAACTGAACGAAGATTAGGAATCTATGATGGATAGACAATGTGACCTCCACTAGCCGATTGCCTCAGGTTAGTGGACCAGTAGTGTGCATTTTCTTCATATGATTAACTTAAAATATTTAGTAAAACTGATTAAAAGATCAATCAATAAAATGCAGTAAGCGAAGTTCGGTGAGTCAGATGTCATCTACCACCTACCCACCTACCCCACAAAAGGCGCGCCTCTTTGAACGACTGAGCTACAATTTCTCGCCACCGTTACGTTCTGGAATTTTTCTAACCGAATTGCTAAATATGCGTGCAATAACCATATACACCTAGGAATTAATGTTAAAAATCAAGGATGTTGTTATGAAAAACCATGATTGCCAAGTTTGTAGTGCCAATCACCAGTCAAACACACAAATACTGCAAACGCGATAACATTCGTGCCGGTTGGCAAACTGCACTTGGTCGTGCTACTCCTAGCGAGATGATTATACCTACCATTGTGAGTAACAATATCCCTTCTGTGTTTGGGAAGCTTCCGAATTTATCCTACCCGGTCCAGCGAACGGAATTTCGCACCTCTTGTGTCTTGTGTCTTCAGGAGTTATGGCTCAATGATGATGTGGACGATTCCGTGCTTCAACTGGATAATTTTCTCTGTTTGTCCAATATGACATTTCTAACAGGAGTGTTAAGCTGTGTATTTTGACATATCCTGTCCTGTGATAACTTCTTTACTTCAACACGATAGAATATCAACACCTTTTCGTAAAACTTCTTCGCCGTGTAAAGGAACGTGCTTTTAAATGTGGCAGGAGGGCCGAAATGAAACAAATATCGTTTCCGATTAAGAGTGAAATAAGACGGCTGGACGCCCTTTATGCTAGCAAGTTTCTGAGACGCAGAACTGTAAATCTATGTGGCGTGGATTCAATCTGCTCTGCAGGCAAAAGAAAGTGATTTCCATTTCCTCTACCTTTCTTGAAAACGATGCTCTGACACTGTCTCAGGTTTCTGCACACAGCTATTCTTTCACTCGAACTCCGAACTATTCCAGACTCCTGGCGCCCAGTTAGAATTACTCCCATCCCCAAACAAACGTCAAAGACCCCAATAGCGAAGCGTTTCAGACCAATTGCTCTTGATTTCAGTGGTTTGAAACTGATGGAGCGATCGGTCTTGCATCGTCTTCAGGTTTCCCTTACCACCCTCGATGATACTTATCAGTTTGCATACAAATATAACCGATCTACAGTAGATGCGATTTCTTCTCTAGTTCATTTCATCTGTAAGTCCCCTAACGAGAAAGCCAAATATGTGCATCATGCATTTCCGGATTATTCTTTCGCTTTTGACTCGGTGCCCCGTTCACCTTTATTTACCAAGCTCCAATCTTTTGGCTGTCCCGCTTTTCTTCTTGAATGGCTTGCTGGTTAATTTTAGCAAAGATATCAGTACGTTAAATTGGGAAGAAGACAGTCAATCGCATAAACAGATATCTCGGGTGTACTTCAAGGTGCTGTCCTAGAACCCGATCTTTATTCGACTTATATCAGTGACTTACCTATTACTCCCCCTGTTCAACATTTTAAGTATGCTGATGATATCGCCACTTCTGTTTCCCTATCGAACCATTCAGAACTGGTTGAATATAACAAAAATCTATCCTACCTCCTTTCGTATTTTACTTCATCCAGTCTTAATCTTAATCCCGAAAAATACCTTGAATGTAGTTTTACTCTAAACCATTTCCCATCTCCCTCCGGCAATGTCCAGATTCATGGAAAGTCGATGAACAGGGTCAGCCATGTGAGATACTTAGGTGTCACATTTGAAAGTAACATTCGCTGGTCCTTACATGCCAAGGTTGAATGTTCTCTCCTTTCAGATAACAAGACTGCGCCACTTCTATTCTGATTTGTCGGTGATAGACGCTTTGTTCAACAATGTGTTCTCCCTACACCCGTTTACTGCTCCTCTGTAATTATTCCCAGTTTTCTGAAGGCTAATTTTAAGTTGCTGACGTGTGGCCTCTCAGTGATCAGCCGTGTCTCCGTTATCTGTTGTGATTGACAATATGTGTATTGCCCATATTGATTTGTGCGTGGAGTTTGCTGACAATCTGATTCCATCCACCCTCTACACATTGACCTGTATGCATGCAAATCCAAACTTTCCACCTGTTCTAGGTTCGAACCTCTCCCGTGCCGCATATTGGTATACAGAAACTCTTTGGTACCCTATCTTGCCCGGAAACGGACCGACAAGAAAGCGTTTGTTCTGAGCTTTCTAATGCACTTAGTAATTAATTCATATTTTTGTACTTTTCTTATCCCACGTTTTTGCCTCTTTTTATCAGAATTGTAACGGTGATCTTTTTTGGCTGAAAGCTTGTATATAACTTGCTAAAGCTTGAATACAATACAGTGCAATACAGTATAACGATTGATGAATAGAAGCAATGTTCAAAGTTCAGTGAAATGTAGCGAACTTGTTTAAGCAATTTGTTGATCAATTTATTCATATTACAACTTCCGAATGCTTTTTTGATTGTAAAACATGACATCCCCTTTCATGATTATAAATAAATAGCAATATTTTTTCCATTTTTCCGTTTAATTAGGGTTTGCTGCGTAATCGGTTTGGTTTAGATATACTTCTTCATGACACGCAAAAGTTAGCGTTTCGCGCAAAGCGTGACTTGCACAATTTTCTCCCTGCGGTTAATCCATAACACACGGAATCCCAGCAACCATGAATGGACGCAAACGGCCGTGGTTAGGTCAGAATAAATCAGTATGGATTGGAGGTATAGCAGAGATAAACCGCATTAAGAGCATGCAAAATTTAATGATTGTTGAGCTCTCACTAAATCCCAATTAACTGAGATTGAGGAAATATTGTGACCACAAAGTTCATTGTATCCAATTTACCGGTATCCAATTAATTTTCAAAAAGTTTATTGCCAAGTAAAATCATATAGTTCTGCAGGTCAAACAGACAAAGTTTATGGGTTATTTTTTTCGGTAGATTGTTCGGTTTTGCGGTTCGTTTCTACGAAGACCGAGACAAACTAGCTCCATATAAGGTTGTTTCGACAGATACATAACAGCTGAGTTTCCGATAGAACAGCCCAAGTGCATGTCATTTTACACTCTCCGGACTCAATTTTATACGCGTTCCCAAGAAGTTTGACAAAGCTACTGAGTAAAGAACCCTTCCATCGGATCACGAAATATGCAACCGGTTGGAATCATTTTGAGATATATTTCCAATAAGACGGACTCAGCTTTGTTCAACCATGCGAGCATACAGATTTAGTGTACCAAAACAGATGTTTGTGAGAGTCGATTGAGTGAAAATCATTTTCAGATAAGTTTCATTTCACCCGGACTTTAACTAAGTAGATTTATCGATGGAATACCCAAAAATGAGCCTTAATCATTTGAGAAGTGAATCGCAATCAATTTCACAAGTTAATCGGGTTGATAGGGCTGGGTCAATTCGTCACAAGGTGCTAAACGCTCCGTTCAACAATCTATTTTCCATTGTTATGCAATTGTCTCAGGAATATTTTATCTATCTAGTAACTGGTCATAAAGGTATCCAAAAGCCAGAGTTAATTCCTCTTCCGTTAGACGCTTAGAAGGTGAGTCTGAAATTGTAAACAACCCTTCTTCTCGTAACTTTTTGTCAAAGACGTCTACCACAAACTGTTGAGTATTCAAAAAAAATAAACCCAAGTTGGTTGCTACATAGCCAACAGTGGTGATGCTCTAGTTTGGGTCTGTATCCTTCCTACTTTGTAGATAGCCTAATTGTGTGATGTATCTTTTGATATTCTCCGCTTTTGAGATCCGGTAAAATACAATAAACTGTTCAGGCAGTCCATTCTCACGACGGTTTCTATTTGATTGTCTGTCTGTCTGTCTGTCTGTGTATCTGTCTGTCTGTCGGATAGGGCAATGTATCTAGAAATCCAAGGAGTTTCATGCACACCAATAAATCATATCGAACACATGTCAAACACGTATTCCATTATATATTGACGGTATACCAGGAATAAATTAAGTTTAACTTATTTTTGAACGATACTAAACGTTAATGAGACTCGGTCCTTGATAGACTCTAATTATACATAAACTAACGCGTTGGTTATCCCTAACAGATTTCTGGCATTCGTTATTCTTGTATCAGTCCCAAGATCATTCTGGTGTTCGTGATTGCAGAGCCATAACGTGTGAAGTTAAAGTAAAATACTTCTTTTCACTTTCATTTCGCCTGTTCGCCGAGCTTGACAATTTGTTTGCAAACGTTTCATCACCAGCCGAGGTGACATCATCAGTGCCACTTCACAAGTACTTATGATGTCACCTCGGCTGGTGATGAAACGTTTGCGAGCTAATTGCCAAGCTTGTCGAACAGGCGAAATGGAATTCAGTTCACCCGAGCTACGAGAACCGATTTGCAATATTTTGCCAACTTCTTTTCACTTTTACAAATGCTCATTCCGAATTCAGTGCAATTGTGGATTGCACCTCACCTGCTATGTGCGTTTGACTCCAAATGTTTGTCGCTTTTGGAATCAAAGGATGGCGCGTTTTTCGCCCGGCCTATACAAATTGTATAGCACTGTTACTTTTAACAGATTTAATCACTTTAGGCTTTGCACTTTCCATTCTCGCCGTTTTTAATAATAACACCCCTAAAATCGCTTTTCAGTTGTTTCTCGTCCACTGAGAAACGTAATTTTCAAATTAAACAGAACCGTACGTGTATTTAATTACGGCAAATGACTGAATTCAGAAAGCAGGAATTCCCAATTGTGGTAGGAATTGGAATGACCGTGCATTGGGATGAAACTTTCATTGCTGAACAATTAGTTAATCTAGTCACTATGTGATGGTGGCACATCCTTTTAACCAATTATGTCTCATTTTATGTATACCGGCTCTTTTAGCCGTTGCATACTAGACCTACAATCCATTCTGTCTATGCTCCTTGTGCAAGCGAAGTATTGCCGTCACATCCGGAATCCATAGTTGTCAGGCTGAAGCAACCATTATACGGACACCATTTCGCGCTCTAAATATTTTGAGGTTCATAGACAGCTCTTTGTTCAGTGCACAACCTGATCCTCATGAAAAAACAACTATGTAGATCTTATTGATTTTAAGCACATACTATCGAAAGCTAAAATATTCATGAATGATAAGAGATTACTGGTTAGAAAAGCGCACTCGTCAAGGAACATGCAAGAAACAACTCTGAGCTAGTTAAACATGCTTCAAACAGGTATTTGTTGAATAAAGTTTTGAAGTTCCAAAACACACAGAATGAAGAGCCTCAATATGTTATTTTGGACCATTCTACTGTATATCGGTTTACCTGGGCCAGAGTCCTGTTTGCTAAACGACATTCTAACCAAGGGAATTCTGATGTGCAATTTATTTTTCGAACCTTTTATTGACTTACAGCAACCTACAAGAAGTAGCGCTTATTGTTAAATCAAATCTGTATTTTGGCCTAAAACATACGCTGACCTTTTCGGTGACTACAGGTTTTAGGATATGCACTGAGTAAACTATAAAGATTTATCCGAAACAATTTATTATCTGTCACAAAGTACTGGCATTTTGAGAACGTTCATATCAAAATACTCAAATAAGATGCTTTCTATTATTCTTGTGCTACACCTTTTCCCATC